CATTTTCAAAATTTCAAACGAATATTTGGAAACGTTTGTTAAGTACGATGAGCAAAACAGTTCATTACGTTACGGATTTCACGTTTGTTGGGTAAATTAAGATATTAGGGTAATTATAGGATGACAATAACAAATTTTATTTGTTTGTCAGATACATCAAAATATTTTATTTGTTTGTGGGGTAAATCGTAATATTTTATTTGTTTGTTGGATAAATCAAAATATTTTGTTTGCCAGGTAAATCGAAATATTTTATTTGTTTGTTGGGTAAATCGAAATATTTTATTTGTTTGTTGGATAAATCAAAATATAAATATTTCCTTAAATAAATATGTTATAGTAATTGGAATACTATTAGTGTAAAAGTTTTCTTTTTTTTACACTTAAATTATATATCTAATTCATATGCAAATTCCTTTAATTTCAGTTATTTAAGTTATTTATTTAATTTTTGATGAAAAATTTTCAACATTCTAAAATATGTGATAAATCAATCAATGCAAATTTCTTCCATTTCAAAATTTATATTTAAATTACTCAATCAATCATAATTTCAAGCTCATAATCAAACTTATAAATAATTATGCAAATTAGCTCTGGTATTCATTGTCCATTTTAATGCCATAATTAATTCACACTCAAATTAAAATCTGAAAAGATTTTCAATTAGTCCATCTGGTTGATCAATTTGATCGATCGGTTGATCTCAGCAATACAATGAATATTTATTAAAATTTTTTTCAAAAAAAAAAAAAAAATAAATAAAACATAAAAATTAATTGTTATACTTTTTTATTCTTAATAAAGAGCAATTTGATTTTTTTGTACAAAATCATAGTAAAATTTAAATGCTTTATAAATTATTTCAAAATAATAAACAGCTATAAATCAATGCTTACCTGTTATTTATCGCTAAAATTATATCAAATATTTTTAAGTTTGCGCATTTTGCCCTTTTTCTAGAATGTAATTTAATTAATCTGATGGTTTGATCTAATTAATTGATTTCTAATATTCCATTTATTTTAGTTATTTCATTCCTTCGTCTTTTTTTTTATTTTCTCAATTTTGAATTTTAAAATTTTATAATGGATATAGCTATTTTCTTTTTTAGAAAATTGACTGGTAGAAGTAAAATTAATGTAGAAAATGCAAAATTGAATAACATTTTTAATTTCAATCTTATGTCGATTAAAATAATAACAATTAATAATAGTAATAATGATAACAATAATAATAACAGTAATAATAATGGTAACGACAACAATAATTAATGATAGTAGTAATAATAATAATTAATAATTGATAATAATAATAGTAAATACGCAAAAAAGTGTTATAATATTTCTCTTTGAATTTCGTTTAAATAAAAAGAGAACTTTGCAAAATTTATGATTGAAATTTTAAAAAACGTATCAAATGTTCTGAAAAAATTGACTAATTTTCTTAATATTTGAAAACTTACACTAATTAATTAAAATAAACAAAGTTTAATTAATTAAATATATATAAAATATATTTAAGATGAAAATGCTAGAAAATGAAAATATTTCTATGCGACAATTCTTCTTTTCTCCCTGCACAAATACAATTTCTGTTTGGGCGCAAAAAGTTCATTTTCCTTTTGCGCTTGTCTTACAGTGTCAGAAGAAAAATATTTAATGTAATAATAAAGTTTGCAAAAAGATAATTTCAAGAAATATTTGCGTCTATATATTTCTTCCACAATTCATTCTTTATTATTTAATCTTTCAGTTTATCTTATCACTGTTATCATCACTAATCACTATTGATTATCAAGTTTTCGAGATTTTTCTCAATTTCAACCTTTTTCAGTTCATTTTATCAATATTATTATCATTATTCAGTGGTAATTATCAAGTCTTCGAGACTTCTCTGTTTTTTGCTTTTTTTTTTTACTTTACCTTATCATTTTTATCATCACTATCCTATGACGATTATCATTTTATCGATTTTTCTCAATTCTTTTTAGTTCTTATCATTATATTTATCAATGTTATCATTACTATCATCACTATTCAATGGTTATTATCAAAATTTTTTAATACCTTTTCTTTTCTTTAGGTATGACTAATTAATGAAAGGATTTACATATTGTAAATTAAAAGTTAACAAATCAATTCAGAATCAAAAAAAAAAGAAAGGAAAAAATGGGAAAGATTGATTAGCTTTTTCGAAAAAAACTTTTTATCAAAATTAAAAAACATTTTATCAAATTTATCAGGTTTTCTGTCTTTTTTTCTTTTGCTCAATGTCAAACTGTGAATGTATATCTTTCATCAAAATTTCATGATAACTTTATCATCATTTTATCACTACAATCAATTGCCATAATAAAATTTTCATCATTTACATTTTATCATATTTGATTTGTTATCATATAAATTGCGCATTGCTAAAGTTTAAAAAGTCTAAATCAAATTTTCATCGTACTTTTGAGTTGATAATAATCAAAACTATTCGACCATTATTAATTGCGATAAAATCTTTTACAGTTATAAGATTATAACAATTGCGCAGAATTAATGAAATATCCAAATGTCACAACATATCACGAAATCAATATATCACTTCAAAATGTAAATAAGATATTTAGCGCCGCTAAAATGAATTACTGAAATGAAATAATCCCACTAAAAAAAGGCGGCTTTGTCCACGCTCTAAATATTTATCGAAATGCGCCCATTATTCCATTCAATTAAATTGACAATATCAATAAATTGTAGTTACTTTATTCATATTTACATTATTTTACTTACTATATTTTTTTGTGATAGTATCAAGTATAAAACAATAATCGAAGAATAATCAAATAAAACTTGTAATTTACATATGATTAATTAATTGTTCAGTGTTAATTAAAAATTACAGATTTGTGAAAATTTAATTAATGATAGCTAAATATTTTAACAGTTTTAAGTTCTCTACATTTATCATTATATGATAAAGTATCAGTATTGATTACTGATAACTTCTTTGTCGTTAGAATATATCAATTTAGTGAAATATTCTCAAAAAATCAATTTTGCTTTTTTTTTTTTTTGAAACAAACTATTATACTTTTTTTCTTGCTTAGCCATTATAGTTAAATAACAAAAAATCATTATGTATTTCAATCTTATTATGAATACATTAATTTTTCTAAAATTTATCCTTCATTGTAAAATTTAAAAAATCAAATTCAAATTTAAAAAGTTTAATCAAATTGCAGTGCAATTGAAAAAGGACATTTTATCAATTTAATGAAATATTCTCACAGAATCAATTTTGCTTTTCTTTTTTTGCTTCAAAATTATACTTAAATAATAAAACATTGCTTTTATTTCAATCGTATTAATGAATATATTTTTAACTGTGATAAATTGAAAAAAATTATGCTTTAATGTAAAATTTAAAAAATAAAATTCAGATTTAAAAAGTTTAATCATTTTATTGTACCATTGAAAGCGGACGTTCAAATCATTTATATCATTTAAACCATTCATGAAAAGAAAAAACAGATAAGAATTTACAAGGGAAAAAAAGAAAAATAATAATTTGAAAATAAAATAAAAATAAAAAATTGTAAATATTTCGCACCGTTAGGGCATTTCGATAAATAAATGCAAATTAAATTGTAAATAAAATATTTTCAAAATTTAATAATAAGATAGAGATAATTTATCTTTCTTAAAGAAATATAAATTATAGGTATGGGAGGAAATAGTGTAGTTTTAATTGCTATCTAAAAAATTTCATATATTTAAGTGATTAAAAAAATTTCAAAAAATGAAATTGAATTTCTCTCAATAATGAATATACCATCAATATAATATAGCACTATCGAAATATAATATTATTTGAATTTCCCCGAATATTGATAAGAAGTTTAAAAGATTACTGATTAGAAATTTTCAGGAATAATTTATTACTAATTAGTATTCTATTATTATTATTTTATCTCCATTTAATAAAAAAAATAATTGATTGTAAATTACAAAAGAGTGATTAATTCATTTTTCAATATTCAAAATTTATTATAAATTGTTCTTAATATCCTATTGTGAAAGATTTTTGAAATTGTTTCAAAAAAAATAACAAAAATTAAAAAAAAAACCTTTAGAGCATATTATAAAACATAATGATTAATGAACAATAAAAAAAGGTAAAAAAAGGTAGATAATGAAGAAAAAAAAAAAATGCAGCTGCATTTAGGAGATCGCTTGGGAGTATTTTAAGCAGCATATTTACATACTATTTTAAAATTGATCTAAAATAAACAAATTTGTTAAATTAAAAAAAAAAAAATGTTTTCAACTTTTTTTTCTTTTAAATTCATTTTAATTTATATACGCTCAGCGATCAATAATATTAACAATAAAATTTTTGATAATAATGATAATAATAATAATAGAAATTGTAGCAGTGATAAATCATAAAGGTAATTGTTGATATATTGCCAATGAGGTTTATTTACAAAGGTAGAAAAGGAAGAAATGACATTTAGTGATATAAAATGATAACAAATTAATGTTTCATTAATTATCATTAATATATTTAGCCTGTAATTAATTTAATATTGAATTTTTTTAAGCAATAAATTTGCATTTCTACTAATAGGCACTATAATGGCACCTTGTATAATGTATAATATAACGAATAACAATGAATACTTTAAAATGTATGATTATTAAATGATAAAACAATAATAACTCATATAAATGATTAAGTAAACAAGAAAAAAAAAGGAAAAAAGAAAGTTAGATTAATTAATCAAAATTAAATTTTATCATCTTTGTAAAATTTAATTTGATTAATTTAATTTGTTAAAAATATTTGAAAAAAAAAAAAAAACATTTAATAACTACACATTTAATTTTCACTAAAATTATTATTATGAAAAACAAAAAATTATTATTTTTCACACATATATTTTTCATAATCATTAGTAAATTTAATTAAAAAAAAAAGAAGAAAAAATTGAAATAGAAAAGGAATGATCAAAGAGGTGGTGGACCGTCAACGTAATCTAAGTGTGGTCCCAATGTTGTTCGCCACGGTACAAGTGATGATGTAGTAAACCAAGCAGTAAATGCTGCAATTGCAGCAACAATAAATAACAGTTTAATTGACCAATTAATATGAATAGCGCTTGCGCAATTGTCCTGTCTCATTTGTCTTGTTGTCATTTTTGTATCATTTTTTAAATGCATTCGTTTTCTACTACGTACCAATGTTGCTTTATCAACACTTCTTACATGACCCATTTCTTTTTCAAATCTATAAAAAAATAATAATTTATAAAAGTAATTAATATAAGTTATACATAATGTATTATCAATATTTGTAATTGCAATATTTAAGAAAAATTTTGTAAAATTTCAATCAATTCAAAATTAATAAATCATTTAATCAAATTAATTAATTTTGTAAAAATTAATCATTAATTATTCATATAATTCACAATAATTTCAAGTTTAAATTATAACATTAATTAATAATTTAATTAAATTAATTAATTTTGTGAAAATAATCATTAAGCATTTATATTATTCATAACAATTTCAAGTTTAAATTTAATATTTCGTTTTTATTTTTTTTTTTTAAAAAAGAATGTATAGCAAAATATAATATAGCAAACCTAGTTTTAAGTTGTATTAATGCATTGGAATATAATGCTAATTCAGAAGTGAAATCGATTGGCGGTGATTGTTGAGTGGAGGAACGATTATGAAGTGATGCTAAATTACAGCTCAGGTAATTACATACTGTTTCTAATCGATTCATTCGTTCCTGACATAATTCCAATTCGGAACATATCTGCTAAAAATGGAATATTTATAATAATTAAAATTATTTTCATCAATCAAAAAAAAAAAAATGAAAAGAAGAAAAAAGAGAGAAAACAATTCTAAGTATAAATTATTCTTTTCTAAATATATTTAATTAAAAATGAGAAATAACAATTCTAAGTATAAAAGAAAGAAGAAAAAAAAAAACAATGATTTAGAATAGTTCTATTAGACAAAATATAATTTAATACTCTAATAATATTATAATATACCCTTGAATAGCTTATAAATTACTTTCAATATTTAAATTTTATTAATAATAATAGTTGATCTAGGTAAATTTTATTATTAATAATAATTGATTAGGTAAATTTTATTAATAGTGATAATTGCATTTAAGTAATTAAACCAAGTAAATTTTATAAATAATAATAGTTGATCTAGGCAAATTTTATTATTAATAATAATTGATGTAGGTAAATTTTATTAATAGTGATAATTGCATTTAAGTAATTAAACCAAGTAAATTTTATAAATAATAATAGTTGATCTAGGTAAATTTTATTATTAATAATAATTGATCTAGGTAAAACTCAATGATACAATTTTTGAAAATAAAATTTAAAAAAAAATTATAAATAAATAAAGATTAAAAATTATAATTTTAACAATTCACTTCAGAATTATCAGTTCCTTTTCGTAATTCTAATAAATCATTTTCAATTGTTCGCATCATCATTTGAATAATTCGTTGCGTTTCTGACCAATCATTCCATTTATCTCGAATTGCTTCAATTTGCGCCATTAATTGCTCTACTCGTTTCACTGCTTCCTTATAACCTTCACATAATGGTTCAAATTCTCTCAATAAACCTGATAAATCACCAGAAAATGAGTCTGAATTTAATAAACTTTGCAATTCCTCTTGCTCCTCCAATAATCGTTCATGAATATCCTTAAAAAAAAATTTTTTTTTTTTATTTTCAAAATATCTTTTTTTTTTATTTTCTAAATAACAATAAAATAATCATTTAATCAAATTAATAAAATATATATTGTAGCAAAATCTATTATTTAACAATTTTAAATAGTTGAAAAATATTTTTGAAATTTTTAATTTTTTTTATCATTGAATTATTTTTATTCAAAAAGAAAAAAAAATGCTAATTATATAACTGCTTTTTTTTTTCAAATTTAAAAAGATAGGAAAAAAGAAAAGAGAAAAAAAATTACGGTAAATATTTTAAGAGTGCTAACGATATCACTCAATGATCTAATCGATGATAATGTCGAGAATGATGAATCCAGACCACTATCGTCATCGTGAATTAACTTCAACGAGGATGCAAATTTTTCAATTTTCGATAAAATTATAGGCAATGGTGATTGCTTGGGTAGTGTTGGAAGTGGAAAGGATTGAATGCATTTATTTGTGTTACCATCATTTGTCATCAAAACATTTTTCAAATTACACTCTGAGTGATGTTGTAATTTTGATGAATTCAATAGTTTGCATTCAATTAATGGTATTGTCCTTGCTTTCACTAATTCCAATTTCTCATTAATATTGCTATTCTGAAAAATATAAAAATTTTAATTCACATGAAAAAAAAAAGTGCAAAAAGCAAAATTTTGTTTCGTTTTCTATTTCAAAAGAAAAAAAATTTTATCAATTTTATCAAAAAATTTTACCAGTTTGGAAAGATCAAATGTCAATTTAATTCACAAAAAAAAAAAGAAAAAAAAGGAAAAATTGTAAGAGATTAATAATTCATTATAATCTGTATGATATTAAGAATTAAATTGCTAATTAAAAAATTCCAGAAGAAAAAAAAGAAAACATTTTAAAATTCTCTTCCAAAATTTTTACTTTCTTTTTTTCTCCATTTTATTCATCTGTAATTCATTTATTTTCTTCATTAATTATTAAAAATCTACACAAATTTATCACAAAAATGTTAGAAGGTAAGGTAAAATAAGGTAAGATAAAATAAAATAAATTAAGGTAATAAATATTTCACTAAATTGAAATGAAATTTGTTATAAGTATAGATGATTATAAAATTCATTCTGATTGATATTTGACAAAAGGTTGACAAATGAGAGAGAAGAAGGTAAGTTACCCAACCCTTTTATCCCATTTGCCCTCCCTTTTTACCCATTTACCCATTTCATTGATTATCAATCACCTAGCAACGACCTTTTTTGCCATCAACGAACTGTTACAGAGGAAATTCATTCAATTTCTGCTAATTACACTATAATCTATGAATTCTATTCATGAAATTTCTATGACCAGAAGAACCAACCGGATCCTTTCGTATACATTTTCCGGTAACGGTAGCAATAGGTCGTGGTGCTTTTTCTCGTATCGATGTTTTCTTTTCATTCTACAAATTGATTATATTATTAAACTAAACAAAAAAAAAAAAAAAAGATCAACAAAATAAAATTTGTAAAAAAAAAAATTAAAAAAATAAAAAAAAAAAAAAAAAAAACGTTGAAAATAATTATATCAATATAAATAATCATATACATTTTCATTCATATTATTATCGTATGTAATTATGAATACAAATTTGCAAAATTAATAATTGAATAAAGTAAAAAAATTTTTAAACAGTCATAGATAATAGTAAAATTATTAGTATTAAAGTAAATATTAGTTAAATAATTAGCATTATGCAAAAATTTTATCAGAATAATAATAAATTTTAAACAAAATGACCAATCAATCATACATTTCGGTGATAATTTCTTGCAAAAAAAAAGAGATATGAATTAATTAATTAATAAAAAGTAAAACTTATATTGAAAAATATTTATAATGAAAAGTAAATTACTTACAATGTTGTAAGTTGAGTGATTCGATGAATATAATAAATCTGTGGAAAGTGATAAGTTCGAGTTATCAAATTGCATATGATAATCATCCTCAATTGTCAATACTGATATATCTTCTCGATCACTCATTTCATCCCAGTCATCTTCAGCTTTAGCTGGTGGCTTAAATACATTTATAAATTTAATTTGTACAAAAATAAAATAATTTATTTGTTCATTTAAATATGATAAAAAAATATTTTTATCTGTTTGATCTATTTTTGTTATATAATATCATTTTACAGTTATAAAAAAAAAAAAAAAGCAATAAAAATTTGAAAAAGTAATTAATGTAGAAAAAGAAAAAAATTAAACAAATGAGAGAAGAAAGAAAAATAAAAAGTAATTAATTAATATATATTTGAGTAATAATAATCTAATTTATACGTTCCTTTATTTTTATTTTTATTTTCATCGGTCATTGTTTTATAAAATATAACAATTTGCAAAGATTATTAATAATTTTGAAATTTTAAAAAATAAAGTTGAATTTAGTAGACTACTAATATTGATTAATTAATTTGAAGCATTCATAAACATGGAGAAATCAAATGTTTTCAGTTTAATTCTTGCAAAATGCTGTAAATAAAACAAATTAAACTATTATTCCATTATCATTTATTATATTCTATTTATAAAATCTATTCGAAATCTCAAAAATGAATTAAATTTATATAATTTGAATAATTAAGATTCTTTTTTTTTTGGCATATGATAGTAGTATATTAGAGAATGGCAAAATCTGATGAAAAGATTTTTCAAAACAATTTGATCAATTTTAATAAGTTATAGAATAATGATAAGAAAGAGAAGTAAAAAAAAATTTTTTTTTTTTGGACAGATTAGTTTGAAATGAACATAGACAGAAATAGAACACAGTAATTGATAATAATAATAACAATAGTAACAAATAATAATTGTAATAATAATTATTCAGAATGATTGGTGATGAGAGATAAATTAACTGAAAGAAGAAGCATAACTATTAATTCTTCTAATATTACGATTATTACGACTATTAATCACTAATGTATCAATTAAATAATAATACTACTTAAAAAACGCTACTTAAAATACTTTAAAAAAAAATTACTTAAAATAATGCACTAATATTACGATTATTAATCATGAATATATCTATTAAATAGTAATGAAGTGCTAATCAAGATGGCATACTGATATTACGATTATTAATCATGAATGTATCTATTAAATAGTAATGAAGTGCTAATCAAGATGACATACTGATATTACGATTATTAAGATTATTAATCATGAATGTATCTATTAAATAGTAATGAAGTGCTAATCAAGATGGCATACTGATATTACGATTATTAAGATTATTAATCATGAATGTATCTATTAGATAGTAATGAAGTGCTAATTAAAATAAAATAAAAGTCGAAATTACATTTTCGCAAGATTATATAAATAACATTTCATGGCATTCAAGTTTAATACACTAATTGACCTTAATTTAGTATAATACATATTGGCTCAAAATTTTATGATAATAGTTTTACTGATATCAACTGATAACCTTGTAATCATCCCATTCATATGGTGGCGCATCACTCTGATCTGGACCTGTTGTGTCACTGTCACGACATAAGTTTGCACTCCAATGTGACACTGATGCACTGGGTGCTGAATGAATTGATACTGCAAAATATGTTCATTTAATCTTTATGTAAATAACAATTTTTAATTATATAAAATAATTTAAAATGATATAAGATATATGATAAATTAACTTTTTTATTAACTTGAATTTTTAACAATTATTCCTTTATTTTTGTATACAAATATCAACTTTTAGTTATATAAAATAATTTAAAACGACAAAAATATATGATAATCCACTTTCTTTATTAACTTTTAATTAAATTTTTAAGAATTAATTGTTTATTTTTTATATAAATATCAACTTTAAAAATTTTTAACAATTATTTCCTTATTTTTAATATATAAATAACAATTTTTGATCATAGAAAATAATTTAAAATGATAAAATGTATGGCAATCCATCGTTTTTTTATTAACTTTGAATCAAATTTTTAACAATTATTTCTTACATTTTTAGGAAAATTAAGCTATTTGGCTTAATATTTTATTCAAAATTTTCATAATAATTAACTCATAAAATAATAAATTAAAAATGATAAAAAAGATAAGAAAAACAAACCATCCATAGACATTCCAAGATGTTCACCATCAGACATTGAACGTGGAAGACGTCGAGCACGTAATTTACGTCGCGTATGATGTTTACTACTACGAAATGCATTACCCAAATATTGTGCAGGTGGTAAACGAATTGAACCTAATGATGCGGTAGCACCATCAAGATGAGGTATTTCAGACCACGTCTGTGAACAAATACTATTTTCCACATCCTAAAATTATTATTATCAATTTGAAAATTTAAAAAATTTGTTTAAATAATTCATTTTTAAAATTTATATAAAAAAAAGAAAAGAAAAAGAAAATTAAGTATTTCTAAAAATTTTATTATTATATTAGAAAAGAAATAATTAAGCTAAAACAACAACAACAACAACAAAAAAAGGTATTTGAAAGCGTACAAAAGGAAAACCTGAATGAATTCCAATGATGAGCATGAAAACTGAACTAGGTAAAATAACCGGATCAGGAATAAATGATATAGATTAATAAACATTAAGATGAGCAGAAAACAATAAAAATATAAATCACTATCAAATGATATTGAAATCAAATCTAAATTTATCATAGTTCAAAAGTTAACCTGTTGTCCAAGTGCACTATTAGACATTTTTATCATTGATGGAAAACGGTCAGAAGCGCTAAGTCGTCCTTTGCGCCGTCTTTTCAACGATGATAATTTCATATCCAGAACAGATGATGGTATGATAGATTTATTTTCAATGAGTGAATTATTAAGATCTGTTGGCAAATCATCGCTTTCCTCACTTGATGCATCACAAGAATGCTATAATTAGTAAACAGTAATTATTCAATTATTTAATTAAATTAAAGTAAAACAATTACAAGAATTCTGCAAACAGTAATTGTTCAATGAAATTAAATTAAAGCAAGAGCATATCAGCAAATCTTATCATTTATTATCACCACAGATAAGAAGTTATTTACGCTTAAAAGATAATTGATAATGAGTTTTGTTATATTTAAATTCATGCCATTGCTATCATTTGCTCTTGTTTTAATTTAATAAATAATTGAGATATGAGATATGAATTGCATTACTACTACCATTGCTATTATTATTAGTTGTATTATTACTATTATTATTATTATTATTATTATTATTATTAATTGTGTTATTACTATTATTATATTAATATTATTATTTATTATGATTGTTATTTTTTTTATAAATTCTTTAAAATCAATTTCATTAATCTAGTAGCAAAAATTTACAAATATATTAATTAAACGGAATTTAAGCAGCAATGATTGAATTATTAAATTAAATTAAAACTAATACGGTAGCATATAAACAAACCTTATCATTATTATCATCACAGCTAAGAAGCCATTTACGCTTAAAAGATAACTGATAACGAGTTTTGCCATATTTAAATTCACGCCATTGAGTGCCTTGCCGTTCAAATTCTTCCCATTTTGGATTACCATTTTCATCATCTAACATTGATAAGATTTCCTGTTAAATAAAATAATATTCATTTTTTTTCTTATAAATTTAAAAATTCTAAAAAAGAAATAATAAAAAAGTAAAAAATAAAAATAAAAAAGATATTTAGAAATAATATTAAACCTTAATATCAAAAAATAATATATTAAATAATATTCCATTATAAAATCTAAAAAAAAAGAAATTATTTTTAATAAATATTGCGTAAAAAAAGATTTTTAGAAAAGAAACCTCAATATCACCATTAGCATCCATTTCAGGTTCCTCTTCCGTATTCACAATTAATGAATCGGTAAGCACATGCATATCTGTTGTTGGATAACCTAAATTACTAGTAGACCAACCTGATATTGGTACCCGTGTCATTTCTGTATCTGTTGCACCTATAATAATATAAATATTATTTTATAATTTTTCTTTATTTCTTTCCTTCATGTAATAGAATTTATAAATTTATTAAAAAAGAAGAAAAAAAGATTTATAATTTTATAAGCATTTATTTAAAAAAAAAAAGTAATTTTTCAGATTTTATTAAAAAAAAAGAAAAACCTATCTATAATGAATGATAGTAAAAATATTTATTTGATATTTTTATCGGTATATCTTAGTAGAGTTAATTTCAAATATTCAAGATTATAAATTGTTGATTAATTAACTGACAAGAAATGCTGAAAATAGTGCTTGTAAATATTATAACTTAAATAATAGCCATTATAAGTGATAAAGTAATATTAGAAAATGGTGACAAAAATGACTGAAAGTGTGAATTGGTGACAAAAATGAATGAAAGTGTGAAATGGTGACAAAAATGACCAAAAGTGTGAAATGGTGACAAAAATGAATGAAAATGACTATGAAATGGTGACAAAGATGACCGAAAGTATAAAATGGTGACAAAGATGACCAAAAGTGTGAAATGGTGACAAAAATGACCAAAAGTGTGAAATGGTGACAAAGATGACAAAAATGACCAAAAGTGTGAAATGGTGACAAAGATGACCAAAAGTGTGAATTGGTGACAAAAATGAATGAAAGTATGAAATGGTGACAAAGATGACCGAAAGTATAAAATGGTGACAAAGATGACCAAAAGTGTGAAATGGTGACAGAAATGACCAAAAGTGTGAAATGGTGACAAAGATGACTAAAAAAAAGTGTGAAATGGTGACAAAGATGACCGAAAGTATAAAATGGTGACAAAAATGATCAAAAGTATGAAATGGTGACGTGACACGAATAATTAAAAATGGTGACAAAAGATGACTTACCAGTTTCATCTAGTGGTACTGTCTTATAGAAACTTTTCACCGGTGAGTATTGAATTCGTTGTCGTCGTTGCTCATCAGTATCTGTTGGTGATGGAAAACTTAAAATAAATTAAATATTTATTATAATATTTGATAAATTTTGAACAGTAAATTATTACAGTTTTAAACATTTAAATGAAGAAATTTTCCACTGATAAATGATAAAATAATTTACTTAATAGTAAATCCTCTAATACTCATACAAAAAGGATTTTTTAATGAACAAATAATTTACCATGATTGGCTCATAAAAAATCCGGAAATGCGGAAGATAAGTCATCCGTTTCTTTTATATTATCTATTTCTATAGAATAAAAAAATTAGAAATACATTTATTATTAAACTTTACCTTATTTATTTAATTTAAAAGTGAAAAATATATTCATATATCAAATTTTTATTTTTTAAAAAAGAATAATCCTAGCTTATAGGATAATAAATTGGTACTTTTTTTACCCGAAAAAAAGAAAAATGGCAAAATGTAACTGTTTTTTTTTTTTTTTATCTGAATGAATTGATAATTTTGATAATAATTATTAATAAATTAATCCCAAAATTCTAGTAACAAGCAAATGTTGTAATTTACCATCCATCAATATTTTTTAATTCAAATAATTGAATTATTTGAATAAAATAATTCAAATTAATAAATTAAAAAAAACATACACTGCGTGAGAATTTACTCCTTGTAATTTATTCGTATTATCATTGAAGAAATTATCATTATCAGAATGATGATGTCCTATTGTATAGCTATTATTAGTTATTGTTGTTGTTGTTGTTGATGATGATGTTGTTGACTCATCTAATTTCATTTTTTCATCATTTTTCCATAAATTTTCCTCTCTAAAATTCTTTGATAATCTTTTCCTGAATTAATAATAATTTGACAAAATTATCTAATTTGTTTACTTACTAATTCTACTTATTCATTCATTTAATAAATTCATTCCCTTAACAATTATCAATTAATATTATCACTTATTTATTTTACTACTACTAATAATAATCACTTATTCATTCAGTTAATATGAAATATAACTAACAATCAATCAATAATTTTAACGTTGTAAACATATTTTTAATATTTTATAAAACTTTTTCTTTCTTTCTCTCTCTCTCTCTCCTTCCCTCTACTTATCATATCAATAATATTTGATTACACTGATACAAACTCAGTTTGCGGCATCGTTTCGCAGTTGATACTTTCGTATTCTTCTTTAGCAAATGGTATGATATCTTCGTCACTTCCTCGTCCTAATTCATCCGTTTCCTCATATTTCATCCGTTTTTTATCACTACTATGAAAACGTCGCCGTTTCACCTGTGGTTCTCGTAATTCCGGATCACTCTCTGATTCCTCATCACTCTGCAAAAAAAAAAAAAAACATAGCATTATTAACAACCATAATTCCGATTCCTCATCATTCTGCATGAAACATAATACTACCAGCAAAATTAAAAAAAAAAATTTCATTTCATTTGCTTATAAATTTATTATTTATGTATTTATTATTTTCCTTAACTTTCATTAATCTCAATCAAACTTTTCATGAAAATATCAAATTATAACAATCACCTATAAATACACTAACAAAAATTATATATAAAAAATAACCAAATTAACATATACTAAAAAAAAAAAAATAAGTATTTGAGATTATAAATAATGCTCATCAGTAAATAAAATGGCAAATTGCACATACAAACAAAATAACAAAGCGAAAAAGTTTGTTGTGATTGTCGTAAAATGAATGTCATAAAGTGATGTGATGTGATGTGATCACGTGAGTGTATGAAGAAAGTTATATTAGTAATATTACAACTACTTAGTCTTATCCTTTTATTATTATTATTATTATTATTTCGAAGAGTTTATAAACATCACATTTGTTTGCATAATAATACAATTCTTGAATTTCTCATCAAATAAACTTTTTCATTCATTTGTATTAATCGTTTGCCATTTTCAATATTACAATTAGTTATACAATAATCGTATTACTATTATTATCATTTGGCTTTATTACTATTATTTATTATTATTATTTACTATTACTATCAATATTATTTGTAGGTATTATTATCTGTTATTATTATTTGTTATTATTTATTATTACTATTTATTATTTTAATATTACTATTATTGTCGATATCATCATTATTTATTATTATAATTACTTATTATTATTATTTACTATTATTTATTGCTATTTGTTAATATTATTAATATTATCTGCCATTATTAACATTATCTGTCATTATTTATTATTATTAGCATTATTTGCAGATATTATTATCTTATTTTCGCCATTATTTATTATTATCATTTATCATCATTAATATCATCATTATTTATTACTATTATTATTATTTGCCGATTATTTATTATTATTATTTATTATTAATTATTATAGCGATTATATATAATCATCGCTAACATTATCATTCACCATTTATTGATTGTCATCATTATTATCATCATTATTTATTTATTATTATTAATATTATTGTATTATTATTAATATTATTACTGCTATCATTAAGTATGCTATAATCATTATCAAGCAAATATCATTGATAAGTCTAAATATTGGCAAAGAAATTTCAAAAGATTGCAGACAATAGATTGATCTGATAAGGTATAATAAGACGTTAGCAGCTCTTATCACTAGTCTTTTCCAGTTTTTATTCTTATATTAAAACATTTACATTTATTGTGCAGTGATAAGATCACTTCAAAGAAATGAATTCCTCCATCTAAACTATATATCACATACGATTTTATCATTTTTATCTTTTTTAACATCAATAATTAATTATTATCATAAGTAATAAATCAAATCCTATCTCAATAATTATCATTAAAAATAGAGCTTAAAACCTTTTCAGAATTCAAATTATTCTTTCCCCTTTAACTATTATCACAAATGATCATATCGATCGATTGATAATAATTATGATCAAACATGAAAAAAAATTTTCTTTTTTTTTTTCACAAAATATTAATTTCATTGGAAGTCACTATTCACTAATAAGGTTAAAGTTCATATATTTATCAGATCAGAAGTGATCGATGAACTATCTCTTCAGCATATTTATCACAATCGTACTATATTTACTTAGCAAATATTCTTTTTGAGCGGAAAAAAAAAAGAATTAAACAAAAAAAGTGAAAAAAATGGCGGTTAAAAAAATCTAAAATATTATTTAAAAATTTGAAAATAAGAAAAATAAAAAAAAAAATGTCTTTTAATAGAATTTCAATATCTCATTGTTACTTCAATTATAATTGAATGAGTACAAAATCTAAAAAAAAAATGAATAAGTGACAAATTTCTTTTTTTAATGATAAAACAATTTGTTTCGTTTAGCTGTAATAACTTTAAGAAGTAATAATAGAAATATAAAAGTTTGAATTTTAATTTTTAATATTTCAAAAATGATAAATGTAAAAGCTCACCATAATACATTTGTTAATCATATTGTCATTAAAATGTTTAAGAAATGTAAACAAAAATTTCAGCAAAATGGTATACATGAAAAATTATAAAGAGCTCACGTATAAGTAATTAAATTTCTTAAAATTAAATTTATCACAATAATTAAAAAATTTTTTTTCAATAATTTAAGATAATTTAAATGATTTGTCGATAATTTAAATAATCTCTAATTTAAATTGATGTTTAGTAATAATAAAAAATAAAAAGCAAATAATTTAAATGAGTATTTAATAATAATACAAAAAAAAAAAAAAAAAAATCCTAGAAAATTATTTCAATGAAAAGATCTGAATTGGTATCAAAGTTAGAAATATTGGAAATGTCAAATTCTTGCAAAAAAAAAAATTAAAATTTTTTTTTGCAATGATTTAAGATAATTTAAACAATTTGTGCATACTTTTTTACAAATTTTCCATGAAATTTCTACAAAATAATGCAATAAATAAATGAATGAATAAATTATTAAAAAGTGTAAAAAATTAATTACTGAATTACCTTTTCAATAAAGGTAATAAACACCATAAGTAGTATAAAGAGATAATAACAGGTAAAGGTAAAGTGCTAATTGCAAAAATAGGAAGAAAGAAAGGTAGAATGAATTAATTTAGGACAGGTAAAATGAATCTGTATTGCGCTATTTGCTAATAAAAGGTTAGAATAGAATTATGCTTATTAAAGGGAGAGAGAGAGAGAGACAATTAATTTCATGACAGGTAAAATGAATATGTTTGTAGATTGACAGGTGTATTTGAAAGAGAGAAGATAGATAATAATGTTCAATGAAACGTTTTTAATATTTGAAAATTTAATAATTATCTAGATTATTGAAAACAAAAATTAAAAGATTATTGCTATCAATTTGTTTTTTTACCCTTTTAACCTGTTTAATTCATTTCAGGTATGTATTTTTTTTTTTTTTGATGGTAAATAAGTGTGTATAATTTATGAAATAATTGATTTATTTACGTCAAAATAAAATTTCAAATTGTTGAATTTATCATTGTTTACTTTTTCTCCTTCTTTCTTCTTTTTTTTTTGAACAACTAAGCTTAGTAATAATTAAATATCAAAAAAAAAAAAAGAAAAGTAATTTTTAAAAAAGAAAGAGAAAAAATTAATTTTTAAAAAAAAGATAGTATAGGATAAATGATATTGGATTGGATATAACAAAAAATATAAACTAAATCTAATCTTATTTCATTTTAAAAATTGAAAAAAGAAATGACAGAAAAATAAAGAGAGAGAAAGACAGAGAGAGGGAGAGGAGAAGGAAAGAAGTAGAAGGAAAATATGTATAATAATTTATCAATTAAAATCCCAATGGATATCAATGAGAAATGGAAAAAAGAAAGAAAAGAAATCTTTTAGTTTTTCTTTGAATAATTTAACTCATTTAAAGAGAAATGAATAATTTATTTTATTATAAAAAAGAAAGAAAAAGTTACCATTTTTATTTTAAAATTTTAATTTTAAGAGCAAAAATCAATTCAATTATAGAAGAATTACAAATTCTTTCATTATTTTGTATCAATTAAAAAATTTCTTTGCAAACAAACAAAAAGAAAAAACTTGTTTTACTAATTAGGGCAAATGTTACTATTAGGGTAAATGTTAGTTACTAATTGGGTAAATGTTATTATTAAAGGTAAACGTTAATAAGAATAAATATTACTACAATATGATATTCATCTTACTTCTACAACTTACCTTACTTTACCTTAATTACATATTAGTTACTATTAGGGTAAATGTTACTATTTTAGGGTAAATATTACTATAATATGATATTCATCTTACTTCTACAACTTACCTTACCTTACCTTAATTACATATTAGTTACTATTAGGGTAAATGTTACTATTTTAGGGTAAATATTACTATAATATGATATTCATCTTACTTCTACAACTTACCTTACCTTACCTTAATTACATATTAGTTACTATTAGGGTAAATGTTACTATTTTAGGGTAAATATTACTATAATATGATATTCATCTTACTTCTACAACTTACCTTACCTTACCTTAATTACATATTAGTTACTATTAGGGTAAATGTTACTATTTTAGAGTAAATATTAGTTACTATTAGTGTAAATATTACCGCAGTATGATATTCACCTTACTTTTATAGCTTACCTTTACCTTACCTTAGTTATTATTTACAAATGATTTGTTATTGATATATTTGTCACTATAACAATTACTCTTATCACTGCTTCATACTTTTGTCATACATACATACATGCACGCATGCACACACACACACACACACACACATACACACACACACACACACACACACACAGACAGACACACACACACAAACACACACACACACACACACATACACAAACACATACACATACACACACACACACACATACACATAAAACATTGATTATCAATATAAAGAAATAAAAATCGATTTTCTTTTTCATTTTTAATACAATTACTTCAATTGCCAGTAAAAGAAGGGAAAAAGTTTTTTTCTCAAATTTTTAAAGCATATTTAAAAGAAAAAAAAAAAACAAAAATTTCCATACTTATTGCTTAGTTTATTAATGTCTCAAATATTTCACTTTTTTTTTTTTTTAAAAAATAGTTATACTTTATTATACATATATTATCAATTTATGTTTCAAAAATAAAAAATATTTACTGTAATTATTTTGAATGAATAAAATAATCTAACAGATTATCTAAATTATAAAATAAGTATTTAATTACTGATAAAATTTAAAATTAAAGCAAGTGAAAAAAAAAGTGTACAAGTAGCATATGTTAACCATTTATTTGATAAAAGTTATCACTGAATAAATAATTTAATTAAAATAATTTGGTTTTTGTTCATTTTTTCTTTCTTTCTTTCTTCCTCCCTCTCTCTCTCTCTCTCTCTTTCTCTCTCTAATCAAAAAGTTTCTTAATTGAAAAGGAAAAGGAAAAAAAAAACGGAAGAAAGAAACGGAAAAATGGAAAAAGTGTGAAATGTACGTTTACTTACATTAAATATATGTCAACAAATGAAAAGAGACATAAATACATTTTGAAAAGAAAGAAATTACATCGATTTGTGCTTTATTTTTATGTTTTTTTTTTTTTTAATTTTTATTTAAAAAAAAAAAAGAAAGCAAAGCTATTTACACAATCATTGCTACAAATATAAATAAGCAAAATTAGCGAAAAAGTAAAAAAAAAAAAAGAAACAAAAAAATTTTTTCAGTTTTTTTTTGTATTAATTTTAATGCAAACAAGAAGAATGTATTATTCAAATAAATGTAAACAGCTGCTACCATATTTATATGAAAATTATTTATATATATGTATTTTTTTTAAAAAAAAATATTTATTCCTTTCTTAATATATTTTATGCATAACTTTCTTCCTTTAAATATTTTTGTTGTGAGCTGTAGGAAAAAGAAATAAACAATTTTTACAAAATTACTTAAAATTATTATAACTAAAATAGTGAAATATATTTTAGAGAAATGATAGTTTATATGATTAATAAGAAAGAGAAAGTAAATAATAGTAAAAGTAATAAAAAGATTTTAGCCTAAACGAATTGTAAGAATAACAGAATTTGAATGAAGTTTAGAGACATTAGCGCCAATCTAATGAATAGAAATTAGGAACAATTGTAGAGGGAAAGGATTCACTCATTTCATTTCATTGTTATCATTTGATTGCATGCTAAAATGTGTTAATTGAGATTGGTTATAGCATAGTATTTATAAATAATAATAATAATAGTAATAATGGGTAAAAGAAGTAATATTAATAATAATAATGATGGATGAAAGCAATAATAATAACAGTAACAGTAATAACAATAATAATGGATGAAGGTAATAGTAATAACAAATACAATAATAATAATAATAATAATAATAATAATAATAATAATAATAATAATAATAATGGATACGATTAATAACAACAACATTAATAACAATAATAATAAATATGATAATTAATGATAATACTGATATTAATAATTAGTGATGATAATAAAGATAATAACAATTATTGATAATAATTGACGATAATAATAATATAGTAATAATAATAATAACAGTATTACTAATAATAACAGCAGTAATAATAGTAATAATAAAAGTATTAAGTATTCAATTACATTACATTGAGATGAATTATTCGATATTAGTTTATTATTATAATTATTATTGATGATAATCAATGATTAATATTTTGGTACCAAAAACATATATTAATTAACAATGAAAAATTTTTAACAAAACTGACATAAAAATGAAATAAAATATGAAAGAAAGTTAATGAAATTTGATTTTTTTTTTTTTTCTTAAAATGAATAATTGAAATAACGCATCAAAAATTTTGATAAATCACGCGAAATGATGGGAATAATAAAATATAAATTTGAAAAAAGAAAAAAAAAAAGAGAAAAGAAAAATATAAAGAAAAGATGTAAATGCATCGATGCATTTTAATAACATTCCTATCATATATAATAAAATCATAAGAATAGAATAAATGTGGTTTTAAAATGAGGAAGAAATTGACACTAATAATTAGAGGAAATTCAGCGTAAAATTAGGTCACTATGCGTGACTCAAAATTGAGCTGAATAATAATTAAGTATTATTATTATTGTTGTTATTATTATAAATGTAAATTTTAATCCAAAAAGAAAAAAAAAATTTCCAATTTTTTATTAAAAATGGGAAAAAAAAAATTTTTTTAATTGTATAAAAATAGTTTTTAATTAATGTTTAATTAATAATAAGTAATGATTATTTTATAAATAACTTTTTATATACATATATTCTTTTTTTTTTTTGATAAAATAATGAAAATGCTAATGAAAAAAATTACAAATATATCAAAAACGTGAAACAAAACAAAAAAAAAATAAATAAATAAAATTTTGATTCTTCGATTAAACATTTTAAAAATGAAATGAGAAGAAAAGAAAAAAAAATGAGAGAATAAAATATAAATTGAATGATAATCCAATCGAAATATTTATTGAAATTTGGTCAGAACAAAAAAGATTAGTAATGATTGAAAGTATGTCAGATTATCGATCAATCGATATTTGTCAAATAAATTCAAATTGTCACACCTATGAGAAATTAATTCAAAAATATGAAAATTAGAAAGAGCAGTTAAATTTATATGTATAAATTGACAATTAATAGAAAGAAATTATTTATGCCATAGAAGATAGATAGATGTATTATATTAAAATGAAGGATAAAATTAAATTCAATTCTTATTTTTGTTATTCTCAAATAAAATTTATAGCATCAAACAGAAATAAAATTAAACGAAAAATTTTTTGAATTTTAATATATTAATAATGAAATTTAAAAAGTGCAAATAACTAAAGATGGTATGTGATAAATATTTGAATGATAAAGTATTATCAATATATTATCATTAATTTGAATAGATCAGAATAATTATTGGTAGCAAATGTGAATGAATCTTTTTTCTAAATTATCCGAATTTTTTTTAAATGATCATAGATAATTAAAGTATTGAATAAAATGTCTCAAATAATCTGAGAAAGAAAACAAGAAACTAAAATAAACTATTAAAAAGTATTAAATCAGGTAGTAAACTATTTAAAAATAAAAAAGAAGAAACTGAAATAAACTATTAAAAAGTATTAAACTAAGTAGTAAATTATTTAAAGATTTTTTTTAAACAATGAGAATATTCCTTCCCCCCACAAAAAAAAAAAAAGAAAGTGAGATGAAAATTAATCCAAAAAATTTAAAAATAAGTTTTAATTACAATTTATTTATTTATTTTTTTAAAAGGAATTAATTTAGTAATATAGAAAAGATAATTGAAGAAGTTAATTTATTTTGATTGTTTAAAAAATTCATTCCAAATTACTACAATTTTCAACAATTAGTAAATTTCATTTTCATTTCAAAAATACTTTTTGAACATTTAAAATGATAAACTATTAACATTTAATAACCAAAAAAAAAAAAAAATAAATAAATAAATAAATAGAATAAATATTTTTGTTGTTATTTATTTCAGTAAATTAAACAAAAAATAAAAAAATAAATATTTTTGCTATTATTTTATTTCAGTAAATTAAAATTAAATTAAATTAAAATTTTTGCTATTATTTATTTTAGTGAATTAAAAATCAATTATTTATTATTCAAATATTTTTTAATTAAATTTAAATGCAAAAAAAAAAAAAAAAAAAAAACACATACGGAATAAAGATGATCTAATTGATATTCAATTCGACATTGCACCGACAACGATCGAATCCACAAATGATACCAACGTTTTGTCAGTGTTTTCAAATGTTGCTGTTGTCGTTGAATCCAGCAATCTGTTCCATCTTCATTTACCTCCAAATTTCTGTAAACAAATTTTTGTAAACAAAATGTTTACCTTTTTTCTTCTCTCTTTCTCTCCTTCACTCTCTTTCTCCCTTTCCATTACATTTATTATATGATAAATGCAAAAATTGAACGAATATAAAAGAGTAGGATAATTTTAAAAAATTAATTTTTGAATTAAAATTTTTCTAAAAAAAAAAAAGTTGACAAATGCAGCAATGATGAAAATTAAACGATGAAATTACCTGGTAACAGTTCGTTGAACGTTATTTACTAATGTATGTCCTTCGGTTTCGATTTGTAATTGGAGAATCTAAAAATTGATCAAAATTAAATATTTAAAATTAATTAAAATTATAATTTTCATTCATTGAATTAATTCGTAATGAGAAAAGATAAACAAAAAAAAAAAACAAACAAACAAACAAAATTGTTAATAAGTGAAAAGTTAATTTAATTTAGCAATGGTTAAGAATTGCTAGCATTATAGTATTAAATTAAATATGAATGAAATATACATAATTATATTTTTATATTTTGCAACTGCTAAATAATATTAATTAATTAAAATTTTTTGCGAAAAATTTTTTGTTAATTTTATTTTTTTAATCAATTTGAAATAAAAAAAAAAGAGAAATATTAGAATAGTGGAAAATAGACAGCTTAAATATAAATGATTTGCATTAAATCAATTGAAGTTAAAAATAAATGTATCAATAATTTATCAACCCTCTCTCTCTCTCTCTCTCTCTCTCTCTGTCTCTCTCCCCTTTTTTCTCTTTAATATATGAAAAATTAAATAAATGTTAGAAAATCAAAAACAAAAAGAAAAAAAAATTTTATAATATAAATGAATTATCAATGATAATACTAATAGATTAGAATTTTTTAATACGATAAATTATTTTGGAAAAATCAATGATAAATTTTTGGGACAGTAATATAGCGAATATCAAAAGAGATAAGAATATTTTAGGTAGTAAATGATAAGAAATTCTCGAGAATGCTCTATATTTTATGATATGATTAGTAAGGTCAAACGGTCAACAAAATCTATTAATAATACTTTGACATAATATCCAATCATCGCATATCATAGTAATGTTTAATATTTGGATCATTTCATAATAAATTATATCAAAATAAATAATTTAAAAAAACAAAAAATAAAGAAAGAAACTGATAAAAAAAAAAATGAAAATTATGATAATCATTTAAATTGAGTTATGACAATTATAAATTATGACAAACATTCAAATTAAATTGTGATAATTATAGATTATGATAAACAATTAAATTAAATTATGACAAATAACTATGATAAACATTTTAATTAAATTATGATAATTGCAAATTATGACAGCCATTCAAACTAAATTATGATAATTATAAATTACAATAAACATTTAAATTAAATTATGGTAATCAACATTTTAATTAAATTAAATTATTTAATTTATTATATTTTTTAAATTCTGATAATAAATTAAAGTATACTGTATTCATAAATGAATGGCAATTAAATTATGATAATCGATAAGTAGGTAGAAATTAAAATATGATAACCGTTCCATATAGTTATCACATTTTTTTTTTCCAAAAAAAAAATATGCAAAATAACGAACAAAGTAATAATAATATTATTAATTATACCTTAAAAAATTTAATCAAATCTTATTTCCATTTCATTTCTTCAAATCATTTAATCAAAAAATTTAAAATTAAATAACAAGAATGAACTGATCAGATTATCACTCAAAAATTAATTAAATATATGAAATGATTAACTCAAATATCTATTAAAATCAATGCTAACAAAAGTGAAAAGGAGAGAAAAACTTTATGTTAATTTATATTAATTTAGGAAAATTATTTGACATTATCTCAAAAATTTAAAAAAAAATTTTGGAAATACTTCAAAAAGAAAAAAATTCTACATTAGTAGTAGCAATAATTGATCATTTGCATCAAATGATAATTTACCAATCGATTAATCGATCGATTGTTTAATGTAAGTTATAAAATTGATCAATCAAATAATTAATTAAATTTAACATATAAATAAAAAGCATAATTAATTAACCAATTGAATTATTTGGGTAATTATCTTATAAGAAATCATATACTTATTCCTAGTACACCACCAAATTGCACTCAATCATAAATAATTAATTAAAATTCACTTCGTTTATCGTGATCAAAGGTAATGGATGACTAGAATTACATTACTTAAAATTAATTAGCATAAAGTAAATAATAATAATAATTTCAAAGTTAATAAAATCTACAAAATACATTACTCTTTTATTATCAGTAATTCTAAAATTTACTTTATAAAATTGATAATTTAGTTTATGAGATAAATTTTCATGGATCATTCAACAAATATCTGACATATTTAATCAATCAGTTAAATTGCTTTCATTTTTTTTTTTACCACCAATATATGACAATATTTGATCATTATTTTTTGATTAACCTATTAAAAATTTACAGATTATTACAAATTTTCATCATGCAATCATAATAATAGTAATAGCAATTATTAATATTATTCTTAATAGTACAGCTATTATTATAATTGATAATATTAATGTGATAATAATAGTAATCAGTAATCAATTATATTAACAATGGTTTTTATTATATTATTGTTATGAATATAATAATAGTAATAACAATTATCACTGTTCTTATTATTATCATTTATTATTTGCTATTACTCAATATTATTATTTATTATGGTTATTAATTATCACTATTAATTGTTACTATTACTGCTACCATTATTATAATCGCTATTTATTATTATTGTTACTGTTATTATTATTGTCATGATTATTACCATCATTACCAATATTATTTTTCATTATTAACAATGAAAATATCTGGAAAGGAATTACAAATAGTTAGATAAATAAAACGGTACACATTTATGAAATTGAACATCCTACCAACATTAATAACAACAACAATGAGCAACAACAATGACAACAACAATAACAGTAACAGTGAAAACAACAGCAACAACAATAACAATGACAATGACAACAGTAACGACAACAATAACAGTGACAGTGAAAACAACAGCAACAACAATAACAATGACAATGACAACAGTAACGACAACAATAACAGTGACAGTGAAAACAACAGCAACAACAATAACAATGACAATGACAACAGTAACGACAACAATAACAGTGACAGTGAAAACAACAGCAACAACAATAACAATGACAATGACAACAGTAACGACAACAATAACAGTAACAGTGAAAACAACAGCAACAACAATGACAATGACAACAGTAACGACAACAATAACAGTAACAGTGAAAACAACAGCAACAACAATGACAATGACAACAGTAACGACAACAATAACGGTAACAGTGAAAACAACAGCAACAACAATAACAATGACAATGACAACAGTAAAGACAACAATAACAGTAACAGTGAAAACAACAGCAACAACAATAACAATGACAATGACAACAGTAACGACAACAATAACAGTAACAGTGAAAACAACAGCAACAACAATGACAATGACAACAGTAACGACAACAATAACAGTAACAGTGAAAACAACAGCAACAACAATGACAATGACAACAGTAACGACAACAATAACGGTAACAGTGAAAACAACAGCAACAACAATAACAATGACAATGACAACAGTAAAGACAACAATAACAGTAACAGTGAAAACAACAGCAACAACAATAACAATGACAATGACAACAGTAACGACAACAATAACAGTAACAGTGAAAACAACAGCAACAACAATGACAATGACAACAATAACAGTGACAACAGTAACAACAACAACAAATATCCATCACTACAGATTATGGGGTGATTGAACGAGAATTGATAATGCGGGGGCGGTGAGTAGTAAAATTAGAACTGCAAAATATTCGAGATTGTAGCAATAGTAGTAGCAGCGACGGTAGCGGTGACAATGGTGACATACACAGTTGACAAAAGTAATATTGCATGAATGGGTCGTATGTCTATGTGCATACCATTTTCAAGGTTATATGATTATGCGTATGCATACATAATCATTAAATAATTATTGAAAATTGAAAAACAAAAAAAAAAATTAGTTGAAATGTAAATTTTGATTAGAAAAATTTATTTTAATGCTATAATTATTAAATAACAAAATTGTTTTCTTTTTTTTTTTTTTTTTTTGTAGTAAAGGAAGAATAATAAAATAAAATATACCAAATTATTAAATTATTAATTAAGGAATTAAAACTGATTAAGTCATTTTGCGCAAATTACGCAATTGTTTAATTAAGAGAAAAATAGATAAACAATTAACTATGATTTCAAATTTAACTTCAGATAATTTATTCTCCATATAATAGTATATAATTTCTATTGTTTCATCTCTACGACATTTACGCCAATTACTTTTTCCTTTCTTTTTATTTGCCTATTTATTGATACTTTTTATTACCTAAATTTCATATAGCTATGATTTATAAATTGCCATAAAATAACTCACATATCAAAATTGGTAAATTCATTTCATTGTAATTAGAAATTAAAAAATAAAATTTTATAAATCGATATGAAAAAAAAAAAAAGAAAAAACAAGTTATGATATTTCATTGGAAAAAAGTTCAAAAAAAAAGATAAATAAATTAAAAAACAAGTTATCGTATTGAAAAAAAAAATAGGATAATATTTTTTAAATAAAGTTTTACACAGTACTATCATACATCTCTAATACTAAATTTAAATTTAAAAAAACATTTCAAAATTAACTTTGCATTTTAGTACATCACACGGTATACATTCATTCATGTATATACAATTTTAATTTCATACAAATAAATTATTAAAAAATATGAAATATTTTATTCCATTTTTATTAAAGAGAGAGAGAGAGAGAAAAAAGGAAAGGGAATATAAAATTTCACAAAGTTTAGTTTTTTTTTTTTTACAAAAAGTTTTACATAAAGTTAATAAACTATCTTACATCTGTAAATGCTAAATTTAAATTAAGAAAAAAAAGTTTAAATTAACTTTATCACACTAAATTTATAATTAAATGTGTACACTCGTTCATCTATTTACAATTCTAATTTCATACAAATAAATTACTACAAAATATGAAATATTTTATTCCATTTGTTATCAGAGAGAGAGAGAGAGAGAGAGAGGGAGAGAGGAAGAGAGTGGAAAAAAAATAAACAAATAAATAAAATAAAAAAAAAAAGGAAAACCTGTTGGTCAGCAGCCAAACGATCCAGTTCGTTTCGGGCAAGTATAACTCTTGTAAATTTGCTTTCCATTATAGAAAGCTTTTCACTCATCGTATGAAGCCATTTTCGAAGCTCTAATACTGCCATTGGTTCATCGTCGTCTAAAATTTATGATAAATTAAATTTTGAAAAAAAAAAAAAGAAAAAAAAAGTTTCGTCTTTATGGTTTACCAATTTATCATTCTTTCTTTCTTTTTTTTTTTTTTTTTAAATTAAATTATTTAACCATATATTTCATTTTATTTCATTTTATTTCTTTTTATTTTTTTATTTTTTATTTATTCAAATTGGTAATATTCTAGCATTAAAAATTTTTCATTTCTTTTATTAAATTTTATAAATAATAATTTTTTTTTTCTTTTTTTAAATTAAATTATCTAAACATATATTTCATTTTATCATTTTTCACTTTTTATTTTTTGTTTATTCAAATTGATAATATTCTAGCATTAAAAATTTTTCATTTCTTTTATTAAATTTTATAAATAATAATTTCTTTTTTCTTTTTTTAAATTAAATTATCTAAACATATATTTCATTTTATCATTTTTCACTTTTTATTTTTTGTTTATTCAAATTGATAATATTCTAGCATTAAAAATTTTTCATTTCTTTTATTAAATTTTATAAATAATAATTTCTTTTTTCTTTTTTTAAATTAAATTATCTAAACATATATTTCATTTTATCATTTTTCACTTTTTATTTTTTGTTTATTCAAATTGATAATATTCTAGCATTAAAAATTTTTCATTTCTTTTAATAATTTTGTTAGATAATAGTTTGTTTGATAATTATTTCGGAAGAAATTAAAATTATAATTGAAATTATAAATGATTAATTCTAAACCTTTAGTAGTATTTTCAGCATTTTCTGCGAATGATCGTCGATTTAATTCTAGATGTTCCATGGCACGATTAATTGTACTTAATCTAAAATTTATATTTAAAAAAAAAAATTTTTTTTTTAGTATTTTTATTTATAATTCTAAAATTGTAACTATTTTTCTTTTTTATTTTTAAATTTAATAACTAAAAGTTAAAAGTCAAAAAAAAATTTTTTTTCTTAAATGTTTTCAGTAATTTATGCAACTTACAAGCTAAAAAGTTTGATAAATAGAAATCAAAATGCAAATTTAAGTAATGAAATTGTTCCATTTAAAAAAATTTTTTTAAATTGCAAAATGGTATAGGAATTGAAATTATAAATTGGAAACATAAATATATATATTATATACTATTGTCACAGACGAAGGAATAACAGTTATCAATCTTGGAAATTTGGAATTTTTTTTTAATTTAACTTTTCAAAATTTGAATTTTTAAAATTGTAATAAAGTCTTTCAACAGTTTAATTTACTTACAAATAATTTATTCAAAATCCTTTTTGCCAGTATAACCTATAAAGCCTATGAGACAAAACTTAAATTTATTTTATCGATTCAAATTAAATTATACAAAAAAAAGAAAGCCTTAATTAAATAAAAATTAAAATGTATAGGAAAGATCAAATTACTTATTTACTATTCATTTAGTTGAGTAAGTAAGAAATCTCCACGGTAGATAATTTTATTTTTTTTTATAATTTCATTCTTTTTTTTTTAAATGAAACGAAGGAAATTATAAATTTATGAGTTCAGTGTTGCGGAAAACTAAGAATTATAGAAATACAAATTGCGGAACAATTAAAAATAAAATTGAACAATTAAAACAATTAAAATAAAAGTTAATGAACTAAAAATTAATTTTAGGTTATGAAAATTATTTTAACTTATGAAAAATTTAAACTTACGCAAATGAACAATGTGCTAAATCAGTTAACATTGGAATCTTTTCATTTACTTTAATATTTCAAAGTAAAAAAAAAAATAAAATGCATATGATTAGCACTGATATAAATTAAACTTTAATATTTAAATTATCAGATGTAAGATTAAATGTATGATATATCCGATAAAATATTTTGTACAGCTAATTTTTCTTTTAAAATATTCCAGAAATAAAAAACCGTTTAATAAAAAATTTAAAATTTGTTTGAAGAATTTCTTCCGGTTAAATAATAAATCCAAAAAAAAGAAGAAAAAAACAGTTTGTTTGTTCTTATAAGTTTATAAATTAAATTAAAGAATACAAATTTTAAAACTTATAAATTCTTATAAATTATCCTTTTTCTGTTTTGTTATTTACGGAATAAAAATATCAATCATCATTTAATTTAAATGAACTTATCAGTTAATTTTAGTTAGCTAAAAACTTCTTAAATCCTTTTCCGTGTTCTCATTTTTTTTCCTGATACGGTTTTTAATTTGCTTCAGAATTTTAATTTAATAATTTTAATTCTTATCAAGAAAATTTTCGTAGTTCCAGGTAAACAGAAGAAAAGAAATTTTATTTACTTACGAATAATAAAATGAATGGATTAATTCATTTTGAACTTCGAATAAATAATACGTAACTACGTGACGAGTAATACGTAAAGTATAACAAGTATAATGGTATAACTAGTAGAATTTTTCACGTCATACGTAAATAACTTGAATTTATCACTCAAAAGTTTCGCTATTATGATTTTCCTACCAATTCTTATATGATTGGTGAGTGTAATCCGTATTCTGGAATCATCTAACCGGCAGTAACATTATTTTTCCGATTGCTCTCTCTACTTAATCCTAAATTGTCATTCCTGTCTTTTGAGCAGTGGAAAATGAATAATGTAAAAAATATTTGAACAGCTTTTTTCTTTCTATAGCTCATAACTTGGAAATCTCTGATCAATTTCAAAGATTTCCACGTTATGAATTTTACGTCAAGCAAATTTACGTCAATTAAATGATAAGTTGAAATTTTGAAATTTAAAAAAAAAAGCTTAAAATCATTTTTTGTTTTCTTCAACACTTCAATATATGAAAAAATTATGAGATATGCCAAAAAAAAAAAAGTATTAAAAAAATTGTTTAATAACAAAAATAAATAAATAAATAAAATAAAATAATTAGAAATATTAAAAAATTTTTATAGAACAAATTGTTTTATTTTTATTATTTATATTACATATTTAATTCCTTACTACTGTGAGTAATAAAATTATTATAAGTAATATTTAAAATAAAAAAAAAAATTCCACAAAATATTACAGTTGCAAATTTTGAATTTCAATGAAATTATTTTCATAAATCTCAATTTCCATAAAAAATAAATAAACAAAAAACTTTTTACTTACTTTGAAGTAATTAAATTCGATAACTGTGGAAGGGCATCCGATAGTTCGGTGCCTTGCTCGATAATTTCCATTCGACGACGTAAAATATCACTTTCGTTGAGTACCTAAAAAAAAAATAATTAAATTTTCAATTTCAATTTTACAATAAATTTTTTTTTATTTTAAATACTTTTTAAATGCTTATGCAACTTATAATAAATGTTGATAACATCTTAATAATAATAAAATTACTAATATTTTTAATGATAATTACTAAAACATAAATTATATTAAAGAATGATGAAATACTTTTTTTTAAAAATAAAAATAAGTATTTTTAAATAAAAAATATATAATAAATATAAATTGTTCGTTTTAATTACATTTTCAATTTCATTTTTACAATGGATTGATAAGATTTTATTGATAATTATTAAAACACAAAATATATTAAAAAATATTTAGATAATTTTTTTTAAAAATTAAAAATGAGAATTTTTAAATGAAAAGATATATAAGTCATTCATTTTAATTGAATTTTCAATTTTGATTTTACAATAAGAAAAACTTTTTTATTTTAAATTTTATGCATAAGCAAACTGTAATAAATATTGATAACATTTTAACATAATCAAATTACTTGTATTTTAATGGTAATTATTAAAATATAAAATTTATTAAAAAATGATTATATATATATTTTTTCAAATTAAAAACAATTTGTAAATAAAGCAAAAAAAAAAGTGTAATAAAATATTAAATAAATTAAACTGAAGATTTTAAACTTATTAGAAAGTAAATTATAGCGATATATGATATGTGATATGATAAGATGAAAGCAATGTAATGTTTAGAAATTGGAAAGATAATATAAGAAGAGAAATAAAATATTTAAGAATTTTAGGAAAGAATTAATTAAACTATCAATTCATACCCTAACTATAACTAAATGACACACACATATATGATTGTAATTTAATACTTATGGCAAATTTGATTTTAAATTTGAATGAAATAGGAATAATATAAAATTTTATTGTATCGAAAAGAAAAGTTTAAATTTTTTAGCAAAAATTTTCAAATTTAAATCAACATTTGTGATTTAATTTTAACTAATACATTTATTATCAATTAATTCAATTCAACAATACTTGTTTCAGTGTTGATTTTACAGTAATAAACAATAAGTGCGTTTATTTTTATTTATTTATTTATTTATTTATTTTTTTTGAGATGAAATGAATAATTTAACAGATTGTAATTCAAAAAAAAAATTGATATGAATAAATAAATTATTTAAATTATTTATTTCAAAAATAACAAATATTTCAATTTATGCAATAAATATTTAAATGTGAAAGGATGAAAAAGAGAAACGGTAAAGATGAAAGGATTATTTTAAATATGAATTTTAGGTTTTTTTTTTTCTTTAAATTTCTCATCAAATAAATTTTATGAATTGTTATGAAAAAAAAAAGGAAAATGAAAAATAAGATTGTTTTTCTTTTTTTTTTAAAAAAAATTACTCTAAAATATGTTGAAAAGAAAAAATTTCCGATACAATATTAAATATTAGTTTTTCTTAAAAAAAAAAATTGCTTAATATTTAGCAATATTTAGTTTTTCAATTTTTTTCGCCGAGATCTGAGATATTTTAAATTAGTAATAATGAAAAATTTCTGTATTGCTAATATTTAATCTAACCTTTGAACTATTATGAATTTTTTGAAAAAGGAAAATTTTTTTTTTAAATCATCTTTTCTTACTGTATGATATGGAGAGGACAGACGAAGATATTATTATTATTATTATTTTTTTTTTGATTACACTAAAAACTTGGATTTACTTTTGTTCTGAGTTGAATACTCTAAGGTTAAAGTTCAAAACCAATATATGTTTTTGAGAATTTTCATTTTTCCATACTTAATTTGATCAAAAATTGAATTTATCCTTCAAAAAGAAAAAAGTATCCTTTAAATAATATGCAAATAAGGAATAACTAATAAAATCAAAAAGTACTTTAGATAGGTTAAGTATTATTCCTGTTAATTAATTATTAAAACTGCCAATTAATTAATTAGTTAATTAGTTAATCATTGCTGGGAAAAATAAACCATCCAAACAGCATAATAAATATGACTTATTATTGAAAACGAGCGAAAATATTTTGGTTGACCTAAATGACCTAAAGTGACAAGGTGACAAGGTAAACTACTTCAGAGTTAAAAGAGTCATCAATTTTGACTGATTGAGAATTGCACATTTGAATATGCAAATTACTTCTTGACTAAATATTAAACAATTTATAAACAAAACCCTAAAAGGTATGCAAATAAAAATATGCGCCAAGCGCCATTTTAGGCAAATATTACACTTCCGGTGTTAATGAATGGAGTAAATAATTGATTGGAAAGAATAAAGACAAACTGTTAAACAGTAAATTAACTTTGTTTACTTTGTCAGTTATGAATTTTTAGCTGTGTTTAGTAAACATTTAATGAATTGATTGATATCTTTTTCATAAATTTGTCACTTATTTGTTGAAGGAAATTTGAACAAATCGACAATTTACTAATTAACGAACTAATTAATTTCATATCTGTTAGCTAAAATTTAAAATGGAAATTTAAAGATTGTTTAAAAGATTTGATAACTGGCTAATTAACTAATTAATTAGCTTCGCGTCTTTCGTTTAAAAATTAAAATCAAAATTTGAAAATAGTTTAACAAATCGATAGCTAACTAACATGTCTTTTGCCTAAAATTTAAAATTTAAAGATTGAAATTGTCAAATATTCGAACAAAGTTAATTTTAGGCTATGATAGTGCATTTTTATATTTGTTAAATTAGTCAAATTTATTATTTTGTTATTTTGATTAAAATTTTTATGAAAAAGGAAAAGAAAAATGTCATCAATTACCAAAATTGGACAATTAAAATGAATTTAAAGAAAAAAAGAGGAAAAAATCTGTAAAATTTTATTTTCAAATTTAAATTTAAAAGAACTACGAGAAATATATTATATAATTTTACAAGAAAAGAATGAAAATAGTAAGAATGTTTAAAGTTACAATTTAAATCTGCAAACTCTTAACAACATTTATCAATTTATCAATTTAAAGTGTATGATAAATAATTGCTGTTGCACATTTAAAGTTTTAACTTTCCAAGTTAAAACTTTAAATGTATAACAAAACAAACAATCTACTAATGATTAATCGAGCACCAAGCAAAAATTTATAATGCTGATAATTAGTGATAAATTAGCATTACTTAATTACACAAAGAAATTGCTGTATTAAATTAAATTTAATAAACAAAAATAAAATGAGCAGACGAAGAAGTAGGATGAATTGAAATTGATAAGTGATAATGTGAGAAGTTATAATTTTATGAAAAAATTAAAATTACTATTAGCTTTTTTTTTATAAAATTATGCAATTTAATTAAATAATAAAATTTTCGAATTTTTCAATAAAAAAAATTTATATCAAATTTAATTGTAAAATTTACTTTCTATAAATTTATATTTATGATAAGTAATAATTTAAATATATATAAATTAATATATTTTTGCATTTTTTCTTCATCTTATCCAATTTATTAATTTGATCAATACTGATAAATACTGCAAATTTTACGATGACAAAAAATCATTTTATCAAAATGAAAATCATAAATTTTTATCTTTGTCATATGAATTTTTCATATCATTTTTTCAATTTTTTTCTTCCTTTATTTTTTATTTTTATAACGGTGAATAAAAGAATAAACTTTGTATATGTTTAGGTAATGACGTAACTACAAGAACAAACTTTGCACACGTTCACGTAATTCGTTGCTTACGTGAAGGTAATGACGTGACTACAAGAACAAACTTTGCACACGTTCACGTAATTCGTTGCTTACGTTCAGGTAATGACGTGACTACAAGAACAAACTTTGCATACAATTAGAAAATTTATAAACGAATGAAAAGTGACGAACCGATTGGTGATCGATAGCATTGAGAATATCATTATAAAGTGTACTACATGCCTCACAGAATAGTTCTTGCAGTAATGCGCTATTGTCGCTGTTAATGAGATTTGTTGTAGTATCGGTGATTGCAGTGTGTTTCGATGGATTTGTTTCAGATATTTGACATTTTCTTTGTAACTGCAAAAGAAAGAAAATAATCAACAAACAAACAAACAAACAAACAACAAACATTTATCATAAATACATTTCATTATTGTAGTAAATGACAAATTGTTTTATTTATGATTGTAGTAAATAACAAATTATTGAAGTTCTTTTCGTAACTATAAAAGAAAGAAGAAGAAATTTTTTTTTTTTTGTTTTCATTGTGTCATATTTAAAAAAACAATAACAACAAATAAATAAGCAAACAACAACAAATACATATCATCAATGTATTTCATTATTGCAGTAAATGACAAAGATTTATGATAGTTATGATAAAAGTCTTTTTCATTTCATTCATATTTTAATATCTAATTTCAAAAATAAAATGATAAATTTATTAATTAATTAAAAGAAAAAAAGAAGAAAATTGTTTGCAATAATTAAATTTATTACACATTTTTATAAATAAAAATGTTAAATTCTTCATTGTTTATTTTATTCTAATAAAAATTATATATTGTTTGTTTATTTTGCTTTCCGTTTTTTTTTTTTGTTTTTGTTTTTTATTATTCTGGCAAAAATGTAACCAAAAATATTAGATAGTTATGATAAAAAGAAAAAGGAACAGTCAAAAGGAACAAAATTTATATGAAAAATATTCATTAATTGATGCAAATTAGTGAAATTTTCTAATTAATAATAAGTTATGTTTAAAATATTATGATTAAAAGAAAATTTGATTAATATTTCTATAAAAATTATTAGAAAAGATGAATGTCTGAGTAATTTTTGAATAATAAAATATTTTTATCCAAGAAGAAAAAGTTGTGAATTCTTCTTTTTTTTTTATTTCATAAAAAATAAATTTATAAAATTATGTTTAATCAACCGATTACCTTATTAGATAAATGATAGAAAATATTATTTTTTATCTCCCTCAAATTTTTATTCATTAAAAAGAAATTAAATTGAAAATGGATATTAAAAAAGAAAAAAAAAGGAAGAATTCATGAATTATTGAATGGTTATTGCAAATTTGATTGCTTTTTTTAAATTGATAATAAGTTATAATCGAAATTTTATATTTGTTTAATAATTAAAATAATCGTATGAACGAATTAATACTATGAAATATAGCAAAATTAAGAGTATAAATTAAGAAAAAATTTTTGAGATAATTAAAAAATAATAATAATAATAATCTGTTATCAAATAAAAATATCAATATTTAGGTAGGTTGGCTTTAAAAAATAATTTTTAAGAGTTTTTAAAGAAATCAATTTAATTCATTAAGCTTTGTTTGTTTTGATGATATTATCAGTAATGAATTAATTTCAAATAGTGCGGTGGAGAAAGCGCAAAAGGAATAGTAATAGAGGCGCAAAAAGAATCGTACTGGAATAGGTGAAACCATAATCGTTGACATATAAATAGGAAGAAAATGCAATAAAATAAGAAAATATTACGGTAGAAATTATCGTTGACAAATGTCTTCTTATTACTCAATTAATTTAAGCTTAAATTAGAAGAAAAAAAAAGAAAGGTTAATGAACTTTTAACAAAATAACTTAAAAATGAATTAATTCATAATCAATTTTCTGTTTAAAATTTTTTTTATCCAAAATTTGATAAAAAATTTCTTTTTTTATATAATAATAATATAAAATGTTTTAGTTTATATTTATCCAAGATATATTTATGAATTCAATTATTTTATTAAATTCATTTCACTTTTTTTTTAAAAAAAAAAAATCTCAGGAAATATTTTGTAATTATATAATAAATAAATAATTTTTTCAAACAAAATTTTCAATAAAATTCGTATAATTTTTTATATAATTCATATAAAATAACATTTTTTCGTTTACTAAAATATATTTATTCAAGTAAATATATTCTATAATTAAGTAAATATAAACACATTCTGTAATTACAACAAATAAATAATTATATTCTATAAAGTAATATTATATATTTAGTTAGAAAAGGAAATTATTGCAATAGAAAAGAATCATTGATAAAAACTATTATGCATAGAATAATTAATTAATTCTTATAATAATTTTCATTTATGTATGAAATAAATTATAAATTAATAATGAATAAAGGTAATAATTGGTCTAGCATACATGAAAATTAATTATAAAGAAAAAATAATTTTCATTTATGTATGAAATAACTTATAATAAATGTATTATTCTAAATACATTATTATTTTATATAAATCTCAAAGTTATTTGAAATAATTACACTTTTTTTTGAAATCTGTAATAAAATACATATTGTAAACATTTCTCAGCAATATGATTTATTAATTTTAAACTCTCATATCTTTCATATATTTTGATTAATGATAGGAGCAAAAAATTTTTTCTCTTTGAAAATTGTATTCTCGAAAAAATTTAATTTATCTATTACAATTATTATTAATTACATTATATTCAATGATGATTAGATTATGTAAATTTATATTAAAAATTGATCAACCAATAATTAATAAGTGCTTCGGTATTAAAATTGAAAGAGGATATTTAAAGTTTGAACAAAAAATTAAGTACTTATTTACTAATCTACTATTTTTAATTGTAAAATTTGAATTTAAAATATTACTGAAATGAAGAGCCACTTAAAATAAGCACAGAAAAGTACGTGAAAATAAATAAACGAGATAAAATGAGAAAAAAAGAGGATATTTATCCGTCATAGAGAAATAAAACTAGTTTATCGGCTACTCGTAAAATAAAGTAATCTCGTATTCATCAAAAAAAAAAAAAAGAAAATCCTTTTTTTTTTTAAATTAAGTATCATTCCAATTAGATAAAAGAAAAAAATAAAAACAATAAATTTTCCTTTAAACTCAAAATAATTTAAGTAATATTGGATAATCTTAAAGTATTTTAATGATTTGTGTTAAGGCAAATTATTCATAGAATTTGTGAATTCTTACTTACGAACCTAAAATATTTTTAGATAATCAATTTGCTAATTAAAAGATGTTTACGAAGGTTTTTTTTTTTTCCTTCAACTTATTAGTTTATCAGTTTATATAAATTTTAAGAAGTATTATTCCAAAAACAAACTTTCAAGTATTTGAGATTTCTGTCATCAGTCTTTGCAAATGCTTTTTATTATGATATGAATACAATTATAATTAATTATCATTTTTTAAATAGGATTATTTTGTAATTAAAATTTCATGTGAAGAAAGAAAAATCACTCAGAATCTATTAATTCTTATCGATAATTCAAGGCTATTTGCATCAGCAATAGCTCATCGTCTTAAAAAAATGAACAGTTAATGGTGAAAATAATTTGACAGAAGTAATGATAACTTAAAATGACAATGTATAAAGCAAAATTTTACAAGAAAAAAAGTCTGTCATTTTTTTTCTCCAAAAACTAAAGTTCCGATTGAAATTTAAAGTTTAAAAGATATCAGCAGGAAGCAAAATTCCATTCTCATCTAATGATAATAAATCAAAAATGTTAACAGTGTATCATCACTTCTAAAGCACTCAGTTATACCATTTAAATGAACAGAATTTTTTTTTTTAAAAAAAAGAAAAAACTTATTTTAGCAAACATTTTGTAAATTCAGAAAAAGATTTTTCGTTTTTTTTTTTTTTTCATAATATTTTAACAATAAAACAAATTTTATTTAATCTCATTGGGACAATAAAATGATGAGAAAAATTATAATCAAAAATTCGTTACATTAGAAATATTAATTAATAATATAATTATCACATTTTATCAATTAATTTCAAATATGGATACGGTATCTACCGTATTAATAAGTGATAATATTTACCACGGTGATAAACAGTTTGATAAATAAAATTCAAAAAAAAAATTGACCGTTTGAAAAAAGTATGTAATACAAATGTTAATAAGGGAACCAGCCATATATGGTACCAATATTGATGAATAGGTCAAACATATACGGTACAAATACTGACAAAGGGTAACTGTATACGGTATGTTACAGAATAACAGCCAAACTTATACGGTAAATATATACCGTATAAGTTTGGTTCTTTTTGAATGAAAGTAAATATTTCAATAGTAAACGTTGTAATATACTTTTGAGATATCCAAATTCTTCAATGGCCGTTATGTAATTGTTTGCTAAAAAAGGGGTCGCGAAATTTTGACAAAAAAAAAGTCTAACGTTTAAATTTTAAATTTAAAAAGTCTTAAGTTTATACTTGTATAAACGACAAACAGAGGTATATTTTAGCCTAATTAGAATAAAATTATAAATTTAAGGAATATTAGTATTGCAAAAAAGAAAAAAAAAAGACAAAGGAAATCCCCGAAATATGCAAACAAAGCTTTTAAAAGGTATATGAAAGTAAACTCAACAATTAATTGTATTCAACAAGAAGAAAGAGCAACAGAAATGTTGCTATTGTTATTGATTTGTCATAACGATGACAATAATTAATCATTTGTCACTGAAATGTCCCTCAAGTAAACATCTAATAGCTACCTTATTCACTGCAAATGTTTATTATTAACAATCATTATCAATAATTAATAATAATAATAATAACATTACTACCAAAATTTAGTTAGTATTATGTTGTAATTTCTATGATGTCATTATTATATTATTGCTTATATTATTATCGTTATTATTACTAATTATTTATTATTACTATTACGGCTATCATCACCACTATTATTGTTATTATTATTATCATTATTAATAATATTATCTGCGTATTAACAACATTTTTCCTAATAATTAAAACATTTTTGACGAAAAATTATATGAAACCGATATATCCTGGAATATTGTTATTTCATTTGCAAACATAAAATGTCACTGTAGCAACGATATATTGAAGACCGATGCTAATGAAATAAGCTAATCTGTCTTACTGAAGAAGCATCAAGGCGAAAATACTAATGAAATAGGCCAATCTTACAGATTTTAAATCCTATGCCTTTCAGTCTTTTAGGCATATTATTTACATAGTATAGCAGATGTTTTAGATTAGACAAAACATTTTTTCAAACTTTTTTTATCGCTTATTTAAGTCCTAAAAATGATGATGAAGTAATTTTTCAGAAATTTATGAACAGAAAAAAAAAATGAAATTAATAGGAGGCGGAAAAGGGAAAAGAAGATATTTACTATTAATAATTCACAATATTCATTAGCTTACCAGATGTTTCGAGTGGATATACTTTTACAATTCATTATTTAAATTTTGAATTTCTGATTGTAAAAGATATAAATGATTTTATATTTAAAATTAGAATCAATGAAAGATTAACAATCAGTTGCTTTTAAGCTGTTCTTTAGCTGTTTCTAATGAAATAAATTAATTTCTCTGAGAGAAGTTCTCTGCAAGAATCGAAATTTAGTAATTTCTGGTAAATTAATCTTAATATTTACTATTTTTTTCTAGCTTTAAATTAATTTATATCCTATATATAGCACACTTAAGACATCATTTAATTCATTGAAAACACTTCAGTGTTCAGTGTTTATCGAAAAAACTTTTGTTTGCTATTTTTCATCCATTCTATTACGATTATAATTTATTTTTGTAATTTTTTTTCAACTTTACTAACTTTACTTTATTCCGTTACTCTCTTAAATCAATTGCTTCAGTCTCAATTTTCAAAAAAAAAAAAAAATGAAAATTCATTTACATCATCGATACAAAAAATTTTTTTAGGATAAGAAAAAGGACAAAAAAAAAAGTTTCCCTTCCGTTCGAAACAAAATTTTTGTCAAACTTCTGCTAAATAAAAAGTGAAAAATGAATTAAAAAAAAGAAAATAAAAAAAAAAACTTAATTCATTCTATTTATTACATAAAATTTTTTGAAAAATTACAAAAGAAAGTGAATTTGAGTTGAAAAAAAAATTTAATCATTTCTTTTTTTTAAAATTAGAAATTACTCAAAATTTCATTCAATTTATTTTTACATTCTCGAGAAAAGGTCAGAGGATAAATGAATAAAAAAATGTTTAGGAAAAAAAAATAATACAAAAAAGAAAACGAAAAAAAAAAATGAGAAATGTCATCAATGTGCATTTACTGATAACAGCAAACAAACCAGTTAGTCAAGCAAAGTTTTTCAAGGTTAAATGAAAGTTTTTCTCAAAAAAAAAAAGAAACGAAATGCATAATAAAAATTCAATTAAAAATTTGTTATGAAAAAAAAAAAGCAAAAAAACGGAAAAAATGAAGGGACCATATTAGAATTTTCCGGTTTACAAATTGAATTACAACTGAATCAACCGAATTAATCATTGGATAAATCTGTGAATAATGTAATATTTGAGAATTTCGATTATTAATTACACATATGTAAAAGTTATTTCTCATTAATTATCTATGAAGGACATTGATTATTAATTATTAATTACACATATGTATAAATGAAGGATATTTATAATTACTACCACCAATAATAATAATAGTAATTCTATTATTTTGATATTATATAAATTAAATTATTATAAAAATATCATAAGTGTTATTTTTTCATTCATTTCATGCTTAAAAAAAATCATCAATTATCATTTTAATCAATTAAAAAAAAAATTTTTTTTAAATTAAAAAAAAAATCAGGAAAAAAATTAAAAAAAAATGCAATCATTTTCAATCAATATTTTAACTTAAATTGTTTCTATTTCAATTTAAACAAAAAAAAGAAATTTCAACGATTCAATTGTATCATTTGATTTATATTTTCTTGTTTGTTTTCTTATCAATAATATATAATATAAACAATTATATAAATATGTAATATTTTCTCTCTTTAAAATTTTAAATTTTAATTTATAAAATTTACTGCAATATATCATTTCATATGCTTTTATTGATGACACGTAAATGTGAAAAATAATCATCACGTGACGTTTCTTGATCTCATTCTTTCATTTAATAATAAGAATAACTGTAAAAACAATATGTTTTTCAAAAATATAAAACACAATAAAAAAAATGTTCAAATTGTATTTTTGATTAAAAAAATTTGAAATTAGAAAGATCACGTACGTTAAAAAACAAACGTATTTTTTTTTTATGATTTTCATATTGATAAAACTTTATCACTTATTGATAAAACTTTATCATACATACGTAAATGAATATAAAAATAATTGAGATATCCTCGTTATCACTATTATCATTATTATAATTGCAATTATTATTATTATTGAAACTAGCAATAGTTGCTGTTTATTAATATAATATTATTAACACTTTGCTATGTTGCTCAATTCTATAAATTTTTAAAATAAATTTTAATTTTTAAAATGATAAAAGATATTCCTGTAACCAAAATTAGTGATAACTAAAACGATTAATCATTTGTTATCAATACTTTAAGACATATATCAGCCATTGTTGAACATTGTGATTATTTTCAAATTTTAGGAAATATTAATAATAGCTGTATCTAAAAATACTTATCATTTTGTTATTAAATTCAATTTTTAAAATAATTTAAGAAACAATTTTCCGGATGTTTTTTAGTGAAGAAATTTGAAAAGTGGGAAAAATAAACTTACCATATCAGGATTGTTTTCCGGATTTGAAAAAAGGATATCACGGCATTGACGTACATTCATTTTTGCAAAATTTCTTTGTAAATGATTCCTTTACTCGTCGAAATTAATAATTTTAAAATATGATAGTTGTTTAAAAAATAGAACACTTTCAGGTGTCTCTTTAAAATTTTCAGAGACTAATAGAAAGGACTATTTGCTATTTTGCTTAGATCAATTATGCTTCTTAATTAGTACCGATCAGGTGTTCATATAAACGGAAATATTTTATCCGACTTTTCCTGATTTCAATCAAAAAATCTTGTGGTATTTTTCCGGATAAAATCATTTTCCATGTGTAATACTATCATTTGAATATTAGACATATTAGTATGCAATAAAAATAGTTTAAATTGGTTTATCGCTTTAAATTCTTCTCAGATCTTATCACCGTCTCAGTATTAATTGTGCCCGTAATATTTGGTGCTCCAACAGATCTCTGTAATTAAATAATTAAATTTAGGAAATTCGATTAATTAATTATGAATAAAATAACGTTTACGTAGAATAATAGCGTTGGCATAAAAAAATTATTAGTAAATTTTGAAGTTTAAATTTATTTATTTTTGTTTCAAATATGAAACATTTGTAATGCTCTTTCCGCAAAATTCAATTCAAATTCATTTCAAAAATTTGTTACATACGAATTATATTAATTGAACAACTAAGAATGCATTTATGATAGATTTAAATAAAATTAATCCAAATTGAATTTGAATAAACAACAAATTGCAATCAATGTAATATTATAGAATCATAGCAGTGATAACAAATGATAATAACCTGATAACAGAAAGAGAAAAAACTCAAATAATTGGTTATCAATTTATCGAACTCGATTAAATAGTACTAAAATCTGTGGTAGTATATAGCTTTTATCATCCTTTGATTATTAATTCTAATAGAAAGTAATGAATAAAATAAAATTACGGCATGAATAATTGGTGTAATAATTTCAATACGAATGGTACCAATGCTAATGGTACCAATGTTAATCGTAAATTATATCAATCACATGAAAATTTATTTTGAATTTTTCAACTTGTATAAAAGTTTCACCAAAAAAAAAAAAAAAAAAAAAAGACTCAAATAATTTGAATAAAAATTACACCAAAAAATGGTACTAACCATATAAATGGTACAAATGGTACCAAAGGTATAACTTGTAAAAGTTTCATATGCAACGATGCTAAATGGTATGCATTGATGATTCAAAAAATTTTTTTAGTAGAAATGGTGCGCAGTTGTACAAATGATTATTAATGGGAAAGAAGTGAAATAGTACAAAATGATTCATAGAATGGGCGGCAATTATCAAATGCTACTACTTTTACAATTTTTAGCTGTAAATGAAAAAAAAAAGTAAATCTTAAAGATGTGATAGTGATAAGATTTCATTCTAAATTATAAAATAAGTGATTATTTGTGGTGTAAATATAGACAAATGCGCATGATTGTTTTTTAATATAGACAAATGCGCATGATTGTTTTTTAATATAGACAAATGCGCATGATTGTTTTTTTAATATAGACAAATGCGCATGATTGTTTTTTAATATAGACAAATGCGCATGATTGTTTTTTAATATAGACAAATGCGCATGATTGTTAATATAGACAAATGCGCATGATTGTTTTTTTAATATAGACAAATGCGCATGATTGTTTTTTAATTTTAGTAAAATTATCATCGAATTATTTTGAAAAAAAATTTTTTTTCTCCTTGACATATAATAAAATCTTTCTTACTCTCTGTCACGAAGTATTTTTTGTATGATAGTTTGAATAAATTAAAATAGAAAATGTCATAAATTGTCAACTCATCCTATCACTTCAAATATGGAAGTATATTAATTTTTTTTAAAGAAAAACTTATTATTTGGTAAAATTTGATAGAAAAAAGAAAAAGAAAAAAAGCAAATAGCATTAGAAAATATTGAAATTCTATTTTGTACAACAATAACAAATCAACAAATATTCCAAATAAAATTATTCGTAATTAAAATAGCTCTATCAATAGCTAATTAGTCTAATAAGCTCAGTCAGTAATAGATTATCATAAATTCAAAACTATTAAGTAAACAACAAAAAATTAAGAAAATTTTTTGAAAATTGTTCGTTCATATTTTTTTTCAGAAAAAAAAAGACATTAAAAATAAATTTGATGATTAGATTATTTTGATGGATGAAATGGATATATTAGAAATTTTTATATTAATGGAAAACAATGATAACAATAACAATAATAATGATAAATAATAATAATTAATAATAATAAATAATCTCTATCAATATTTAAAAAAAAAAATTTCCTAATACATTCAAAATAATGAATATTAATTAATAATAAAAATAATAATAAATGAATAAATTGCTGATTTTGGGAAGAAATCTGTTCAAACTGTCTGAAAAAAAAATAGCCTATTTGATGACCTAGAATTAAATATATGTATTTTATTGAATAACTTTTAATAATAGTTATAAATCTATGCAGGAAATAATAAAATCTCGAAAATGTATCATTTTAGAAATGAAATGAACTCATTTCAAGTGAAAAATTAATCGTCCAAAAATTAAAAAATGAAATAAATTTTTTTTTTTTTTGTTAAATGAATTAATATGTGAATCGATGAGATTAGAATGAAAAGTTAACAAATAATCTTATCGTTTTTCCTTTTTTTAATTTGAATAAAATATCAAAGAAAGGAAAAGAAAAGAAAAAAAAAACAAGAATGAAAGCTTTTTATATGAATGGCCTTGAAATTAAAAGATATTCCTCCTTTTTTTTTTTTAACACAGATTTTTTTTTACGATATCTTTTTCAAACTTTTCTTGCATTCTCAGTAATTTCAACTTTTTCAATAAAATTAATTTCCGTTAAAAAGGAAATTAAAAATTTTATATAAATGTTTGCATCATTTTTTAGGATAATTTATCTATCATTTCTTAGAATTTATTGAAAATTTAGAAAATTTACAAAAAAAAAAAAAAATTTTTTAAAAAATTTAAAAAAAAATTTTTTTAGAAAAAAAAATGTAAATATGTATTATTTACTTATTAACTTTCTAGTATATTAATAAATCTTTTTATGTAAATTTATACTTTACTTATTAATTTTTTTTCATGCATAAATACTTTTTTGCTTTCTTTTTTGAATTATTTATATACCTAAAAATTAGTAAATAAAAAATATATATTAAATTTTAATTTTAACATAATAAATGATGTAGCATATATTAATTAATTTTACTGCAGTAAAAATGAAATAAATATTCAATTTTTTTTTCAATGTAATTGAAATTAATTATTAATTATTACAATTATGCAATTTGTTCTCGAAAACAAACAAAATATTAGATTTGAATTAATCATTTTGAAAAAAAAAAAAAAAACAAATAAAAAAAAACTTTTAAATTGTTAATTGTCACTTCATTTTACTTATTTCCTAATAGAAAATTTTTTTAAATTGCTATATAAAGCTATAAAAAAAAACATTCCTTTAACTATTAATTGCTTTAATGATTTTCTACTAATATTTTACTTAATAGAATTATTTTCAAACATTTTAAATAAATTTCAATTTTCAATTATTTGCAAAATATTTTTTGATGAATTATAATTTTACAATAGTATTATTTCCTATCATATGAAACGATCAGCATCCGCATTTTCTCACATTTTTGACATATTTGCGCTTACTCACTTTTTTTTTTTCATTGCCGACCGTTCTCTTTTTTCAATTGATCAATAGAACTTAATCGATTGGGACTTAAAAATTAAATATTTATTAATTGAAAAATAACTTTTACATCATTTATAAAAATTATTACTTAACAATCAAATTAATTAATAATAGATAAATATCATATTTAGTTTCAAAATAATACTAATAAATATGAAAATATTGATAAAAAAAAAAACGAAGAAATAATCGGACAACGAATGGCAATCGAAGAAAGATTTCAAAAATATAATTTAATATTGAAAAAAAAAAAAAAACTTAATAATTTAAAAAAAACAAAATCATTATGGTAGCATTGTTATATGTTAACCGTTGTGAAAAAAAAAATAGTTTGATTTTAAAAAAATAAAATTCTTTCAAATTTTAAAATAAAATAAAGCGATAAACTTAATTTGAATCAAATTAATGAGAAATGAAAAGAGAAATATTCTTCCGACTGAATTTTTTTGGGTTTAATTTAAATTTCATAATGGAACTGAATTTATTTATTAAATCTTTTTTTTTTTTTTTTTTAAAAAGAACTCAAATTGATATATCTTTCATAAAGTTAAAGAAAGTATACAAAAGTAATGAAATTTAAGTAATCTCATAAATTTGGAGCAAATTTTATCTTTAGGAAATTTTTACAAAACTTATCCGTTTTATCCCTCTACTAATTTCTTATTGTTTTATTACTTATTGTTTATTGTCAACTTTATCTTTTTACTAACTTCTTGTTGTTTCATTACTTATTGTTTGTTATCAGTTTTAACCTTCTATTAATTTCTTATTGTTTTGTTGCTTATTGTTTTATTATTGCTTTTATTCATCTATTAATTCCTTATTGTTTGAGAATTTCAATAGGACGAATAAATGAACGAATGAATCGATCAATAAAGAAGAAAAAAAAAGAGAAAAATATGAGGAAAACGATATGATAAATTCAATAAAATTATTTAAAAATTTGATTAAAAGATGAATGAATTAAAAAACTTTTCTTTAAAGCTTAAAAAATGCTTAAAAATGCAATGATTCATCGGTTGAGAATTTCAATAAGATGAATAAATGATTGAAAGAAACGACTGAAAGGATGAACGAATCGATCAGAAAGAAAAAAAAAAAAAAAAATATTATATAATATTTACCTGTAACTAAATGATATTATATAATATTTACCTGTAACTAAATGATATTATATAATTTTTACCTGTAACTAAATGATATTATATAATTTTTACCTGTAACTATACGATATTATATAACTGTTACCTGTAAACAGTTAATTATTCACTGAATGAAATAA